ACCACCATCACACTCTTCTTCCTCACTCATTTCAACCTCTTGTTCTTCATGACCACCACCAAACTCTTCTTCTTCCTCACCCATTTGAACCTCTTGTTGTTCCTGACCACCATCACACTCTTCTTCCTCACTCATTTCAACCTCTTGTTCTTCATGACCACCACCAAACTCTTCTTCTTCCTCACCCATTTGAACCTCTTGCTGTTCCTGACCACCATCACACTCTTCTTCCTCACTCATTTGAACCTCTTGTTCTTCATGACCACCACCAAACTCTTCTTCTTCCTCACCCATTTGAACCTCTTGCTGTTCCTGACCACCATCACACTCTTCTTCCTCACCCTTTTCAACCTCTTGCTGTTCATGACCACCATCACAGTATTCCTCACCCTCTTCTACACCCATTCCACCCTCTTGTACAATTTCATCCACTTTGGAAACCACTTCCTCCGTGTCTATGTTTCCTTTTTCAACATCACCCTCTTCCACTTCCTCAGCCACTTCACCACAACTAAGAAAGTGAACTTCCACTGCCTCACTAGGAACATGTTGAACATAAATTTCTACCTCTTCCTTATTCTCCTCTGCATAATTAGCCAAGTACAGTGCTTCACTGTCATCACTCAATAATCTGACATTATTCATCAGCCTTTGTTTGGACCCCTTCCACCAAAGTTTGAAGTCTGCATCATACTTAAATTCTTTAACTATTCCAACTGCTTCAAAATACGACCAACGATCTGGATCAAGTCCTTTGATCACGTGTATCTCTCCTCCAACATACTGTAGCCCCTTATTACTAACAAACTTCCCCATGTGATGCAAACAAATGTCGAAAACCATTTCTAGACCTACATTTACACATCAACATCAACGCTTTACGCACAGATTGGAACAACCATAACCGAAACAGAAAAACAATAGCTTAACTTACCTTTACGCTTGTCTTTACGCTTGTCTTTCACGACCACCGGAACGACCACCGCAACCAACACCGCAAGGACCACCGCAAGGACCACCAAGATACAATGCTTCCTGTGAAAGGTTTCGACTACAATGCTTCCAGTAAAACTACGTTTTTCCCCAATTCAAAAATTTACTTTGACAAATTGTGAACCCTATAACTGATTTCAATCAACAACGTAATTAACTGACTTAATCTCAGTTCAACACTCAAACATCCAACGTGGCAGAGAGAGAAGAGAGCAGATCACTGTTCACGTGGCATCGCCGTTTGCCACATCCACTAAAACTTAACACCGTCCAATTTTAAGGACTAATAGTCAGAGTTTCAAAACAACAAGGACTACAAACCATCAAAGTTCTGAGTAGGGACTAAAAACAAAATCGCCTGATACTTAAGGGACTAAAAACATATTTAACCCTTGAAAATACTATATTAAGAAACAATTTGATAAAGCAGCTAACAATTATCTACTGTTTTCTAATAAACAATGTCTCAAACAAACAATGATGAAAACATATAAATATTGTGGTTTTACACCAATTACTGTGATGCCAAATTTGTCGGCAAAATTTAATTTATCTATTTAAAAGGTTAATTATTTAGTTTGATATGAATTAATGTCACCAAATTTGTCCCAATATTCAAACCGAGACACTACTTTAGAAATACAATAAATGATATCGTTTGTCCCCACTATTTCATTCTTCTTTCTCAAATTCCATTTTGTCTTTTCAAACTTCGCAGATTTAAGAGCGGCTTTAGAAAGGGTATAATCAATTGATTATTTGAGTGTTTAAAATTAGGCATTGGTTTAGGATTTTGACTAACGTGGTGGTTTTGAATCAAGTATTTTGGCGGCATCCAGAAAGAAAGGAACGATTACCATTGTCTAAACAACATGGAAGAGGAGAAGTACGAGAAGGGGTGGGGGAGGAAGGTCACTGTGATGCTGGTGGTGGCTTCGTTGACGACATTGAAGATGATGATAGAGATGAATAAGAGAGGGAGAGAAGTCTATGGCTTGAAGATGTAAGAAGGAAGAATTGACATGTTTCAGAAAAAAAAAGTGATGTGTCATACCATTAACCACCTAAACTAAAATTTAACGCCGTTGCTTTTTTAGGACTAAAAATTCGAGTTTCTTAAGAAAGATGATGAAAATGAAGAACACTTTGAAATAGAGACAAAACCTAAAAACATTTAATACTTAAGGGACTAAAAACACATTTAATCCAAAAAAATAACTTAAACAAACAATCCTATTACCAAAAAAATTCACTAAGTTCGTCACATTTTCATTATCCTTAATTTGAAAGCATCATCATATCTAATTTAATGATTGTACAATTTAGACGTTTTAGATATTAAGATTTCTCTATGCAAAAAGTCATGCATTACAAAAAAAAAGCTAAGGGAACATAGTCGTCAGATGGCTAGCTGCTTGTAGAATACTCAACTTAGGTGGCTTTTCTAGCCTTTTTAATTTGTACACACCCGTGAAGGAAAAATGCTTCTATGATACAAGGCCTGAAGAATAATTTTGAAATCACATTACAAACAGAAAATACATTAGAAATAATT